GGAATCGAAAGCAAAGTCATCAATAGGAGGGTCCAAAAATGGGTAAAAATTTGAAATAAATCATATAATAGGTAATTAAAGCTTTAGTTAGAGGGGAAAACATACAGTAAGAACAGTAGATTAAACTGAAAATTCAGAAACAGTTGAATTAGCCACTCAGAAACAACTAAAAAGGGACATTTATGGCTCTGCTGAAGCAAAACTAAATGCAGAGCCAATTTTTCCCCAAATTAATCTGAGATGTTCAATCCATCGAAATAAAAAAAAAAACAGAAAAAANGGAATCGAAAGCAAAGTCATCAATATGAGGGTCCAAAAATGGGTAAAAATTTGAAATAAATCATATAATAGGCAATTAAAGCTTTAGTTAGAAGGGAAAACATACAGTAAGAATAGTATATTAAACTGAAAATTCAGAAACAGTTGAATTAGCCACTCAGAAACAACTAAAAAGGGACATTTATGGCTCCGCTGAAGCAAAACTAAATGCAGAGCCAATTTTTCCCCAAATTAATCTTAGATGTTCAATCCATCGAAATAAAAAAAAAAACAGAAAAAAAAAATGAAATTCAAAATTCATGTTTCCCCAAATTAATCTGAGATGTTCAAATGCGTATTTGGAAATTAAATTCCATAATTCAATAACCAACAGATAATCATCCGAAGGCTTAAAGAAAAACGAAAATAAAAATCCAAAACAAGAGAAACGTCTCGATGATATCAAAAAGGGGGGAAAATGGGATTCTCGATTAAAAAAAACGAAAAAATATGCAAATCCGTGTGTATGTACAGAACGTATATATGTCATGGATTTATATATCATATATAATTGATATAGCGCAGCTTTGACTCAAAAAGCTTCCATGTATGCTAGTGGAAAGGCGATCTTAAAGGCTGCGCCATTGAAGAACAGCAAAACTACATGGAGGATTGGAATTTGGAAATAGTTACCTGAAAAAACCCTAGCTGCAGACGGATGAGTCGATGTGTGTAACTCTGAATCGTCATTATATAGAACGGTGGCGATTTTTAGGGCTCCAATGTGTGAAATGTGTGGTTTGTGAAAGAGCGAATGGAAGGGAAGGGAAGGGAAGGGAAGGACGATTGGATGAGTCGCGGCGACGATTTGGAGTCGGGTTGAGAGGATGAAAATTGATTTTTCATTTTTCCATTTCGTAATTAAAAATATATATCTAGTTGGGACTTGGGCCAAAGATGAGGCCCATTCGGTATGGCCTGATTGAAAAAAAAAAAAAAAAGTGGGCCAAAAATAGGCCCCCTCCAGTGTTGGGCCTGAGGCGGTGGCCTCATCCGCCTCACCACAGAATCGGCCCTGCAGATAGTACATAGAGGTTAGTGCTATTGNAGGATTGGATGAGGCGCGGCGACGAAATGACTGGTTGGAGTCGGGTTGCAGGAATAGCCCAACCCTTTGGCTGCGCGACACAATCTCCAGGCCAAATGGCATTTGTGAGATTTTTTGTGGATGTTGAGTTTGTTGGTTCGCCAGTTGGACTTAATTCTCTGGATATTCCTTTTTCTGGTGTCCAAAACCCCATAGTTTTCTCTCCACTTCCAATTACGTTGAATATCTCAAATACTGAAGGTTTCAATTTCCCATTAATAAATTGAAAGTTTCCTATTAGGCCTCTAAATTTTGTACCTGATAATTCGCTGAGAAGTCTTGGTCCATATGCTGAGACTTTCAAATTGCCCATTTCATTTTTGCTGGTGTTCGTATATAATGAGCTTGCGTTTACTTGCCCAATCTTCTCAGCTGCTATTGCTAAGGAGCATACTGTATCGTACACCCACAAACCATAGACATTTAACTCCCCAATTGAACCCACATTCTCTTTGGGAACCATATTCATTTTCCAACTTTGTTGGAAACTGTTGAGCTTTTCTGACTGCCGTACATATGGCCTTATACCCAAAACACCATGCATCCATGGAATCGCGGACAACAAAATCCATGGAACTCAATAATTTAGATAAATACTCGGTGATAATCCATGCATACCCTTCACTCATCATTCCTGCATTTTTGGCATGAAGAAATAGCCGAGAACCAAGTGACAAGTTCATGTGCACTAGGAATACCCTCGTTTTCTTTGCTATAAGCTTGTTGAGTTCTTTAAATATTTGAATGTCATCTGATGTGATGGCACTCGTATACGCTATCCCAATTTCAACTTCTTGGAATACCTTATTCAGATGCCAAAGAAAATGATTGACGTATTCCGTGTCTTCATACAAAATCACTACTTCAGGCCATTTAAATCCTTGGCAAATGGCTGCAAGAGCTTGAGCCTGATACAGATCATCTGGAGTTGTCCTAACATAGTATCGATTTTGTGCACCGGAAATAGTTGAGCTTCTGGCACTGAAAGAAATGACTGGCACATGAACTTTTCCTCCAAGTTCTGCAACAAATTTGTCTTCTATAGCAACATGTGGCCCCAAAATTCCATGCACTTCTTCATGCTTCAGTAACTTTTGAACTGCAATCAATATAATTGTCTTCAGACTTGCATGTTAGAGATGGGACGAGGTTATATGGCACTATATGAAGTATTGATCATAACAATAAAATGAACACAAAGACAAGAATTCAATATGGCAGAGGAATTTGAGATTTTATTCAACTATAATGGAAAGAAAATACAATAATTGTATTCCTACACAATGATTCTAACTTTCAGTAATACATAATTTATAAAGAAAAGTCTATTATTTATAGAGATGCATGCCAAACCCTAGAAATAGCTCTAAAGATGGGAATTAGGTCAAAAAATACGTGCAAAGACAAAATAAGGGTAATTCCGGAATGCTTTGACACTCCATCGCCAAGCAGGAGTTAGGTTAGTGGTAGTTCCTTACTAAAAAATCCACCCCGCCGCTTGAGCATTAGTTGGGAAGTAGGCGGCCACCGTCAACTCCGTTTTTCCTCCTTGAACCCTATCTTGACATCTTCAAGCACATTACTCCAAATCATGCGTGCCTTAATAGGATTTGGGTCACAAAACCTAATAATCTTCACCTTGACACAAATTTTGATTCAAGGAACAAGATTTCGAAATTTCTTCGCCTGGAGAAAATATTTGTTTGCAACGAATAAACGAACTCTTCAACAAGAACTAAACTTCGTCAACGAACCAAAAAACTCCACGTTGTCCATGATATCTAATTAGAATACATTAATCTATGCATTTCTCCGAAAAATTTCCTTGGGTTCTCAAAAATCACAAATGATTTAAAATTTACCACATAGGGCCGAAATACACCATGAAACAAAATCAACATTAAATGCGCAACATGCGCAACAAAATCAGTTTCCTTGTATTTATCTCCAATGGGTCTGTCACAGGCAATTGAATACGATGGCACAGCAGGTGATGGTAGCAAAGCGGTATTACTTATATCCTTTAAACTCGACTGAGTTGCATTCTTTAACACGGACCCCAAACCAAGTCTTAACGATACTGTACCAAACCAAATATCTACTACGGTACTAAACTTTTACTGGTTAATCTTCAACAATTCTGTATGATCTTGCAAGATGTATAATTGGGACATTTTTCACCCCTCCGATACAATCCGAACACCTTTGTGAACCTTCAAAACTCCATTTTCACCAATGAACTCGTACCCTTTTGAATCAAGAGTAGTTATCGAGATGAGATTTTTTAAAACTTGGAACATGTCGAACGTGATCAAGTGTTCTAAATATTCCACCCAACAGCTTAAGTCCAACTCTACCAATACCAGCTACCCGACAAGTAGGTTGTTTCCCTTGACCATGACACCTTTCGAACTTGTTTCATATGTTGCAAACAAATACCAATTGGGACATATATGAAAAGTACAAGCTAAATCCAGAATTCAATCCTTGTCAGGATTAGAGTCAAAATAGCTAAGACGTCTCCACTACTAGAATAGTCCTCTGAGACATCGGCTTCACCTGAAGCATTTGATTGTCTTCTCTTCTGATTTGCAGCCAACTTTTCTTTGTTTAGTAACTTGTTACAATCCCTCTTGATGTGCACTTTCCTCTTACAATAAAAATAAGCTTGATTACTGAAATTAGATTTCGACTTACCCCTTCCATGACCACCGTGAACAATAAGGTCTTCTCCATATCTAGCCTCAAATCTAACCAGATGTTTCATCATTTCCTTTAAAAAACAAAGCATCATATGTATCTTCAATGGTAAAAGTATCATGGTTGTATAAAATCGTGTCTCTAAACAAAGTAAATAAAGTAAGCAATGAACATAAGAATCAAGCCAAATTTTCTTCATCGTACTTTACCTCTAAGGTCTCCAAATTAGCGACGATCTCCTTAAGCACAGCCAGGTGATCTTTGAAAGACTCGACTTCAGTCATTCGATGAGAATACAAACGTTGTTTTAGGTGCAATTTGTTGGTTAGACTCTTAGTTATGCACAATTACTTAAACTTCAACGACAAGGCAACTGTAGACTTCTCCTTCAAAATGTCCTAAAGAATGTTATTCGTAAGATGAAGATGAATTTGTGAAAGCGTCTACGTTGTTTCTCCTCCGTCGTCCAAGTTATGAACATCGAGTACTGCTCACATCTTCACTTGCCACAACGAGAATCTAATGTTGCGATCTAAAAGCGGAAGTCATACTCCATGGTTGCCATCAAGAACAAAACACCTCGAACAAATAAAAAACAAAGCTCTGATACCACCTGTTAGAGACAGGACGAGGTTATATGGCACGATATGAAGTATTGATCATAACAATAAAATGGACATAAAGGTAAGAATTTGATTTGGCAGAGGAATAATGATTTTATTCAACAACTATAATGGAGTGAAAATACAATAATTGTGTTCCTACACAATGATTTTAACTTTCAGTAATACAAAACTTGTAAATAAGAGTCTATTATTTATAGGGGTGTATGTAAAACCCTAAATAGTCCTAACCATGGAAAGTAGGTCAAAAAATGCCTGTAAAGACAACAAGGAAAATCTCAAAATGTTGTAACGCTTGAGCGCCCAGCTAGTGCTAGGTGTTGCTTAAGTATTAGGTGAGCGGCAGCTCCCTGCTAAAAAATTTGCCCCGCTACTCGAGCGTTAAGTGGGCACCGTCAACTCCATTTTTCCTCCTTGGACCCTATTTAGACATTTTCAAGCCCAATACTTTGTGCTTGCCCTAATTAGGTTTGAGTCACAAAATCCAACATTACAAAAGGACTGAAGCAGTGCGAAATAAGGAATTAGGAATTCAAACGAAAACCTTAAGAACACGGAATTTGGAATCTACCAAATTATGAAAAAATAAATTCACGAATTTTATTAATTGATGATGATGAAAAAATATGAATTAACCCTTTATTTATAAGGGTTTATATGAAACCTAGTTGAAACAAGCTAAAATTGAAAATAAACTAAAAGACAAAAATAACATAAAAACTTTAAGCGCGGTTTTCGAATCCTAAACGGAATCGGATGGCCAAAATCCATTATATATCACGGTAAAGCTACGTGTTCTATTTGTTTCTTCATTCTCTTTTCGAAATGGTATTATAGTCCCAAATCGAAACTCGACTGCCATACTTGCACTATTGTCTTTTTTCCTTTTCGGTCCAATTCTTCTTAAATCCATATTGAGTGAACTATTAAAATTACATTGAAATATTCTAGGCTATTTGAATGTAAGTTGTCAATGAGATTGAATAAGATGATGGAGATCGTAGAAGATTACGATATATTATCATTATAATTGTATCATATATAAATAGATTGCTTT